GGCCGCTCTGACAGCGCAAAGTACAGCGGCTCCGTCCCCCGCCTCCCGCCGCACCGGCAGCCGCAGCCAGCCAGCCCGCCAGCCAGCCAGCCAGCCCGTCCGCCTGCCCGCCAGCCGTCCGGGGCTGCCGCCGCCGCGGTGGGAACGGCCAGCCAGCCAGCCGTCCGGGGCTGCCGCCGCCGCGGTGGGAACGGCGGTCGCCTCGGCTGACAGGGAAAGCGAGGTAATGCCCGGCTCGGGAGGAGCGGCCGGCGGCTCCTCGTCAGGGCTGCGCCGCTCGGGAGTTGGAGCCGTGGGGTCCCTGCGCGGCCCCGCACCTCCGACGGGCTGGGGCTGGGGGGAGGCCGGGGTTCCCCTCCCTGTTGCTTCCCCACTGCCAACTCCGCGCAGGGCTGAGGACATCCCCGCGGTAAACAGCTCGCCCTGTTTACCCGGTCTCCATAAAAAGCGTGCCTGGGCTGCGAGCCGCTCTGGCGCTCTCGCAGCAGAGAGCACGGCGGAGTGTGGGGTGCGAACAGCCTTACCTGGCAGAGGGAATGGCTTAAGTGGCTTGAATTTTGTCGTGTGTCTCCTTAATGCTGCTTGCCGAGCTAAGATGTCAAACGGGGTACGTGTCATCTAAGTGGATCAGTAGAAAGTACCATTCAGAACCAGCAGCGCAGCAAAACTCAGGCACTGCAGATGTTTTACTACTAGGCTGCTTATAAAATGTGCAAACAGGCAGTGGTCCCACGTTGCTGTCCACAAATCAGTGTGGCAAGTTTTACAACCGTGTCATCTGGCTTTCAAACAGATCAGGAGAGCACGGGGCTGAATGGGATGTCCTGGTGTCACTAGCAGCTTTACGCTGTAATCTTGTTTGGAAATTGATCTAGCTCATCTTGAAATCCAGCCTTGAGGAAAGTAAGGGCTGCAGATCTTATGCCTTTCTCTGCACCTCCTTCCTATGTCTTGTGGCTATATGGTTGCATTTGTTATTTTTATGATGGGAAAAATTGGTGTGGAAACTGTGAAATGAGGAGAACGTAAATACTAAATGCATTGGTGGTACAATGGTTGGTTTCTCTTCTGCTCCTTTTCCTCTTCCAGTTAAGTGCTGACTTTTTTCTATTAGAAGTTTATAGTGGTTTTGTATCAGGGGTGAATTGATGTTGAGTCTTAACATTGTTGGAAAACCACAGCATGTTAATAGCAGACGAAGAATGCATTTTCAGCTCTTGCTGAGTATGATTGAAAGGGTGCATTATGAGCTTTTTTCAAAATTACTGGGGTCAATAGAGCAATGTGATACTGCGCTAGACATGTGTAACCAACACCTTGCTGATAATTGTTAGTTTCAAGCATTTGCTGATGTTTATTTACCTAAAGACTTCACTGGAAAGCTGCAAGAATGAGGTTCTGATCATTTGTAATTACTGTCTAACTGAATGGTTAAGACTAATTTTGGGAAAGCCAGGAAAAGACCACTGCTAAAGAGCTAACAGGGAAGAACCTGGATGTAGTACTTTTTTGCTGAATTACAAAGTAGTTACACTAAACCTCCCTCCTCACCCAGCCTTCCACTAGCTCAAAAACTGTATCAGCTGACTGAATGGTAATCAATGACTATGCAGTTTGGGGGATAAAGTGTCTGCTCGTATATAATCCATGAAGTTTTGTATCTTGATCAGACTTTGCTAGGCAGCCAGAAGAAGATACTGGGGCAGAAAAACACAGTGTAGTTGAAGCCACTTTTGACTTACTACCTTTGGCCATTGTTCTCAGGGCAGAAAAATCATACCTAATTGGTTGCTTATTATGTTTCTTTTAGGTGGTAAGCTTTGGTTTAACAACATGAATAAAAGAATAAAAAACAGAAAGAAAATCTGGTAAACACAGTTTTAATGTTAAACAGGATACAGTTGAAAACAACTTAGAGATATGAGACATAATCTTCCATCTCATATGAAACACTGTGTTTACACCTGCTTCTTGAATTGAATTATAATATAGTAAGTAAGTAATACCTAAGTAAAACAAATTATTCCTGGACTTCGTACTTAATGTGCTTAAACAGCACCTTGATAAGCATATATGAAATCACCTTCTGAAATGAGTCTTGCAAAACCCTTGTGCGTATCTGTGAGACCAGCCACAGAGGCTGGCTGAGTAGTTTCTTCCCTGCTACCATCATACCTTTCTCCCTCCCTGGCATCATGGTTCTGTACTTGCTGCTGGAACTGCTGGGAGGTATAGGTACATAATCCTTCTGAAAGTCAGATCTTGCACTTTCTACACAACTGCTTTTTCTTAATGTGAATTCCCTCTACAGGCTCCTTAGAAGAAAAATTAGCTCTTCTAATGCATTTCTTGCAAGGGATGGTTGGGAGGTTTTTTTGCTTAATTCCATAATCTCCTGTACTAAAATGAACACCTGTCATGCGCTGAAGCATTACTTACCTAATAAAATCTTCTGGTGCTAAGGAAACAAGACAAAACATGGATTTCTTTTGTCCAAGAGATTATGTCAGTGTCTCTGAAACTCAGAGCTACAAGTTATAGTCGTTGCAGATGAATAAAATTGGTAGCATCATGAGAATTGCTATATTGTAGTCAAAAGGATGAAGTAGGTGTGATTGATGTTCAGTGGTTTTGCTATTTTTCTGAAGAGAATTGTCTTGAATGTGCATTTTGTCTTCCTTCACACCCTTTAGGAATTAAACCAACTGATTTTTTTTTTTTCCTTATGTAGTCCAAGAGAGGACTTGCTTACTACAAAGGTGATGACGTAATAATGAAGTGTGGGCCCTGGGAGAGTCTGGAAGAGGCACCATACAGTGCTTATCAGTGGGTTTAAACTGGAAGATATAAAATTGAATTCCTTCAAACTGAAAAGTTTTAGAAAGTCAGGCTTAAGATCCATTCTTTCTAGAACTTTAAACTGTGCAAAAAGTGCCTAAAATTTGATTTGTATTTTGTATCTTCTTGGTCAGTGGAGGCAAATGGAAAAGTATGTAGAAAATAGTGTAAAAAGTACTTGAGAGAATACTGAATATTCAGGATGGTATTTGAAACTGGAAGTTTTAATAGACTAACATTAAAAAGTATGTGTGACTAGTATGCTGCTGAACTAGAACAGGTCATCAGATAAACTGGAATGAACCGGAGTTTGTTGCAGTGCGCTGTAATGTGTGTACATTAAAATTTTAGTTTGGAGTAAAAGTGCACTTATGAATTGAATCTTCTGATCAACCCCCACTTACAGCCTCTGATTTGTGTTTCATAGTTGTCCCAGAGCATGCATGTTGGATTCCTTTTGGGTTAAACTGAGCAGGCAGATAGGCCTGAAGAGCACATCAAATATGACCTAAGAACTGTGGAGTCCCCAGGAGAGAATTAAAGCTGGTCTGAAGTAAATGCTTGAATTCATATGATATGGATGCAGGTTTCACTCAGCAAATCTGTTCTTATTTATCCTGCCTTCTGCTTATATAGCTGTAGCTTTTACTGTGGGTACTAGTCAGAGAAAGTTTTCAGATAATTCACTTTCTTTTTTTTTAACTCTTCAATTCTGGGGTGAAAAACAAAAGAAAAAAAGGAGGAGGGGAAAAAAGTTAGAGATCATTGAACCTTCTGCTTCTACACCTTTGAAGACAAAGATTCTTTTTTCCTGATCTAATTGTAATACACCTTTTCTTAAAGTTCTAAATTTAAATGCAAACGGTGTTTCAGTATACTCCCCATTTATACCACCAGGTGAGAATACTGGGCTTAACTTTTTAAAAAGTTATTATTTTAACTGATGGACTTTTCTTTCTGTTTTTTCCCCCTTGGAGTTCAACTTTGTTTCCATCTGCAATGCAGATACAGTTTCTAAAACCTAAGGCACATTCCCTCATTCTATAATACATATGAACTAAAGATGGATATAAGTGTATTATATAATTGTATCAGTTTTTGCTGACCATTAGACTGTTGTAGTAACATCAAATTATGCTGGCCTCTAAATCTTCATTTTATTTTTAGATGTTTTCTTCAGTAAAACTAAAATAAGTGATAGCAGTTATTTAAATGGCTATTAAAATCATCATTTAAATATTTTAAATGAAGCCTTTTGGCTTTTTTTCCCCTTTTCTGTTCAACTTAATACAAATGGACTTTTTATGAGTTTGTAACCTTTGCCAATCTTGGAATATAAAACACTTCACAAAACCATCAAACCGGAGATGTATGGCGGAAGTTTGTGGCTTCTGGGAAAATATCATTCTGTTTTGCAAAATACTGGCAACTCAGGAGAAATGAGTGAAGCATTTAGAGACTGATATTTATGTTTGGAAATGTTTAGCTATTTATTTAGGCCTCATGAAATAGGTAAACATCCAGAATCTGAAAAACACCTTAGCTCTGCTGATAGGAAGTTTTTCTGAAGTTGTGCAAAGTTTAGACTTTCATATGAAGAAGAAAAAAGCTCAGATAACAATAGCCCACATGTTATCACAAAGAGAAGCCCTCAGTTGTGAACAAAGTGCAAACTGAGAAGTACTGTCTCTGTAACGTAGACAAGGGTGACCTGAAAATCTCTCTACTATGCTTATCTGATTTCATTGTTGCTTTTAAAAATTCCATTGGCAGCAGTCAATCTGGTAAGAACGAGCTGAGTTTTAACTTCAGAGCTTCTTGGGCTAGGAGTGGTGGCTTCTGAGCCAGCAATTGCCCTTGTCAGTGGTCCTCCCTGCCCTTTCTGTGCAGATAAAATACATGCAACTTCAGGCATCAAAAATGTATAGTATGCAAATGTTAAAAACCCCAAATCCAAAATGCAACTTCTACTTACAAAAGTTTGGGGATACTTTTATACTATTAAGTCTTAAGTAGAATTGTTGAACAGCATGAACTTCTAGTGAATAATATTTTTGTTGGTAAGTTAGCTGTCAAAAACACTTTCTGTGTCTGCTTAAAATAGTTAAACGGAGAATGGACTGAAATTACCTTCTGCTTCTCTTCACAGGCTGAAGAACAATGGCTTCCTTCAGCAACCTGACTATAGTCATTGCTCTGACCAGTTTTACTGTATTCCAACTCCTGTTCCACGTTTTAAGTTCTTGGGTGTCAACACGAATAACACCTGGTTTTAGCAATCTCAGCCAAAAAAGGAAGATCGAATGGAATTCAAGGTATAGTGTTCCAAACAAACTTCAGCTGATGAACTACCTGACATTGTCAACATCTGAACCACCTGAGTGTATATATATATATATATATATAAAACTGCAGAAAATGTTATTAGTTAAATATCTGTAATGATTAGAGAGACAGTTGTAGGCATTTGACAAATTCCGAATGTAAAATGTTGATGGCCCTTCTTGAACACACAGCATTGCAAACACTTGGATATTAAACATTTTGTTAGACAGTGTTGCCCAAGTGAAAGTCAGTAGAAAAAGAAAACAGTAACTGGTGAGAGGTAATGAGGCAAAGGGGATTAGTTTTAAATAATTTCTCTGTGATGCTTCTAGTAAAGAGGTACAAAATTCCCTTCCCTCAAACATATGTGAAAATCAAAAGTATTGCAATTTATTCTGTGATCTAAATCTCTCATCATGCTTTTGGATGCAAAGCAAGTTGCTGTCTGTTCTCCCAGTGCTACTACCCTACACCCAGTTTTCAATAAGTTATGATTTTCCAAGAAATTTAGATAAGTTATGGTTTTCCAAGAAATTTGATGTGTCTTTGGTGTAGTATTGGTATGAGGCAGGGTTAGACAGGTACATCTGTGTGTTGGTGGGGAAGCAGACTGCAAGAAGAAGAGTGGGAAGCTGTGACAGAGACAGGGTACGCATTCAGGAAGGAACTGTGCAAACTGAATCTTAAAAACCTTCCTCACTCCCTTTGTGTTTCTGCAGTTGTGTCAGTGGGATGGATCCACCTGCATTACACTTGTCTCCTCAGACAGAGCACTGTTAGAAACTTGTTCAACCCCGTGAATCTCTCCTGGCTGCCTTCCTCTTTTTTAAGTCATAAAGAAATTATAGGGTAGTAGTCGCAAATGGGATGATCACTGAGGTTTTATTTGTGATATACTGCTCTGAAATTGTGTATTATGTAGTGCACAAGCTTTTCCAGTTAAAATGATTTGATACAATATAACTATGTATATTACAGTATATACTATGTATGTAGTAACATGTAACTATCCTTGAGTAGCCTATTACAACTTTAACGTATTTTTCTGGTGTTTCTCAAATTTGAAGCTCAAGAAAGTGTGCTGTATGGCTGGCACTGCACTTAAAATGCATTAGTTGTATCACTGTTCCTCCTCAGTGCACTTTAAAGGCAGTATCAGGTGGATACTTTTAAAGTTGTTTCCATTGTTCTAGACAGCATTAGCAACTCAAATAGTCTTGCCTTTCCATTTGGCAAATGTCCACCTGCAGTGTTCTTAAAGGCCCCATCTTAATTTCAGCTCGATCTTTGAATAATTACCTATCTGCCAGAATAACTTTGTAGGACGTTCATGATAGCAGTGCAGCTTAGGTTTATCTCTGTCACAATTGACAATAGAGGCAGATAGGGAAACTAAACTAAACTGTTATCGTGTTGGAGCTGAACTTTTGTCTCTAAGCCACATCAAGTGACCCTTGAATTGCATAATAGGCTTTCTGAGAACATATCCCATGCCTGGTAGCACTATGCTAAGTTGTAGTGCTTTGCATAATAACATATGAATTGTTTCACACATCACAAGTGTGCTGGAAATAAGCTGCTCGTTGATCTCTGAGCTAATTTGTAGTAAGGTGTTTAACTACTCAAGCTGATACAGCACCTCAGGCTGTGTCCTTTTTATTACTACTTTCCACATTTTTCCTTGGGGTTGGTAGCAGGATGTAGATGTTATCACACAGGTAGGTGAGTTGTGGTCCAGTGCTATGTTCAGTTCTGGACTTAGAAGGCAAAAAGCACAAAGCATGTTCATCAACAGCTTGTTGATATTATACCCGAGGAGGACATGAGGTGAAAGAAAGGCAAACTGTGCTTGTGTTCCTACAAAATTGACTGTTAACTCTGGTGACCAAACACAGTGTTTTGTCAAACTGCCTCGTCACACCAGTGTTTCACCAAAATGAAGGGGCACTCCAAGGAGTATCTTATATGTTCAGAGAAAGTATATAGACACATATGTACTCTGCAGACAGCTGTGCAGGTAGAGAAAGCTATTGTCTCCCAGTAAAATGAGTTGGGTCGACTTAAATGATTTAAAAGTAGATGTTTGTTATTTTGTCCTATATTGAACTGGTGTAGGGAGTGCTCACACAAATGATTCTGTTGGCAGTCCTGAAGGAAACTGGCACAGAGGATGGTTATGCATTTTTATCAGCTCAGCTGGGTCTGGAAGAGGGCATCTGTCTGAAATGAGCTGTGACGGCATTGAAAATATATTGCTACAGTTTGGAGGGTTTTGTAATCAAGCATTTGAACTGCGGCTCTGGACTGTGTTTCCCATACTGTCAGTTTGTTCATTCTGACCAAAAATTAAGATTAAAAATGGAGTGTTGCACTATTTCCTTTCTTCAGTCCCCTCTTCTATAGAGAAACTTCAAAGTCTGGAGTTAAAAAGGAAATCTGCTTTTTTTTTTTTTTTCCTCCCCCTTTAAGTGCTAAGCTTGTTTATAGGTTGTATTCTAAACACTAATAGTTTAGACTTCTGAGTGTCTTGTGCGCATTTAAAATATTAATACATTTCAAATACATGTACTCAAGATGTACAAAGACAAGGCTAATAAATAACAGCACATATACATTTGTGTGCATATTTTAATGCTGTGAATATGGTGCAAAGGTGTTTCTGATCACACCGCATTGAACTTAGATTTCTTAAATAGTATCCATGGTTCAGTAGAGCTATTTTGGCACCTCTTTTTTTTCTCTTTCTAGTCACACTTGAAAAGTGGGAAAGCAGACTGTAGCTACACAGTATTAGATGTAGTTTATAGTAGTGTTAAACCCATGGCTAGAGGAACGAGGTTACACATTTTGGACCCATGCCCATTGCATTGTTCTACCTTCCAAGAATACATGCAGACTGCAAAGGGCAGGAATGGCCCTGGCCTGTGGGCTGGCACAAACCCTGCTGGGGCCTCTGGAAATAGGTAATTCTCTTCAAGTGTTTGTTAACGTTCAGGGTTTGTCTACAGTGTGCACGCAGCCTCTATACTTGAGACTGGTGTCTCAAGTACCAATATTGTTTAGTACCCAAGTATGGACAAGGCAACTGTGATTACTGTGACTTTGTATAGGACAAGAGGAGTATAAAATAAAGTGAAGCTGCTACTTCATATGGATCTGTAGCTGTTATACCTCAGATAATCATCGACAGCCTTTTGTTAGACAAGTTTTCTCTTTGAAAATCAATGAACATATACTTCAAATGCACTAGAAATTCTTTTTGGAACTTTCCATGATAAGATTTTTCATTTAGTGCCCCTCTTTCCAAAACCTGGACTTGGGAGATTTATTATGGGTCTACTCTTACTTCTATTAATAAGAAACCTGCTGCTGCAGGAGTCATAGGCTAATCTGAATATGAAATACATACAGATTTTCCAGCAAATGTGACAATGTAGTAGGTATTTGTTAGAGACCTGCATGTCATAGTGTCTTTAAGGATTCATTAGTCTATGGGATAATTGGAGGAAAATGTAGATCTCAGTTACTTCAAGACCCTACTTTCTATTTAATGCCCCCCAGCCCCACTCCAGTGTAATAGAGTCCCTAGTCCAGTGTAATAGACTGTTTTTCCCACCTGTCATTGCGTAAGTGGTTTGATGGAGTGTAAAGAAGAGATGATTGCCTTCCCCAGAGGTATCTAGATGCGGTTGAGAATGTCTTTGGAAACATCCTACCTTGAGCACAGTACAGAAAGTTGTGAATGGTGGAACCTCCTTATGACTGTGATCTCTTTTTCAGGACAGTGTCCACATTCCATGCCTTGGTGGTTGGTGGGTTTTGCCTATATATTTTGTTGTACGATGACGCTGTTAACGCTGACCGTATCTGGTAAGGCATGTTACATATATGTAGTGTTTACACAATAAAATAACATAATTAAGAAGGAGAAAAATAATCCAGCAAGGTATTAATTATTGAAATAATTGTTTCTTTTCCCATTAAAATATGCAGTTGGGATGTGTCCATTTTTATGTCTGTACTATTTGATAATTCCAAATTATTTTGTCAGTACTAATGTCTTAGTGCATTGTGTTTCTGTGAAGCGGAATAGATAAAATACAAGCAACTGATTTGAAATAGCATATTAAATTACTAAAGCATAGAACCAAGAGTGTAGCTGTAAGTCAGCATGACTGAAACTATGCTATTTACTATAATCAGTTTAAAGTGAAATTGAAATGCTCTTGCAGGTCTGGAGTGTATAAAAAGCTGATGGGGTCTATTATATGTATAAAACATATATGTCTAAATTGATAAATTAAGATGTTTATTTTTCTGCCTTCCATAAAGCTTCTATCAATCTTTGTTTTAAGAAAAGTATGGAAGTTTCAAGTGCTGTCTTCCCAAGCAATAGGAATATTTAATAAATTGTCTTCTATTATTTTCTCTAGTTAACAAAATATTCTATATTGAGCTTATCTTTTCTAGATTTCTATTTATATTGTTTTGTTTCACACCTTTTTGAGGGAGGAGGAACAAGTTGGCTTCGTTTTAATCAAGTTAATTTTAGATTGCTATTGGTGTTTTGACATTTCACTCGTTATCCTCTGGAACTCTTTCCCTATAGAAGGAAGAGGCTGTATTTTTTCCTGAAGACTAACTACTTTAACTTTCAATTAATATTTGTGTGATAGACTGTTGTTTTTAACCTTGTCAAAGGATCACACTGTGAGTCAATTTAAACTCACATAAATTTAACATCTGGTGCTTGTTCTGCTCTTTTGATATTGTAAATTAATAAAAATGCAGCATGGACTAGACAGGATTGGGTGCCTGAAGCACTCTGCCCCTGGCTTGTTATGTGGTTTTAATAAATGTAACACTAATTCATAATACAAATTTAGTCAACATTGTCCTCTTCTGTATATAGTGATATATGATTAAATTGTTGGCTGTTTTGGGTTTTTTTCATTGCATTCTGGTGTATTTAGAGAGACCAAGTAGAGTTTGAATATGTTATGAGATCTGTTAACCATGTTGAAAAGCAGCAGGTTATTATAACTCCCTCAATGTTTGTTGTGCTAAGCTTTATCAGATAGAAGGTTTTCTCCTGGGTTTTTTTTTTGAGTAGACCTTTTTCTAAACAGTACAAAAGAAGTCATGAATGGCAGAAATAAAAGCCTCTTGGCGGTAATAAATAAATTGAGTCTTCTCATTTACTAAATTTTCCTGGTATAATTCCAGGAAAAACTCAAATGAAGCAGAAATCAAACCACTTTTTTTTCCTTAGTAAGTTTGAGAACAGTTATGTTAGATGTTTTTGTATACGGCATTAAAGACTCAATTTTACTTACAGAGTCTTAGCATTCTAGATTATGTAAAAGCAGTAAATCTTAAAAGATAAAATCTATCTGCCTTTGGCACAATTTTTTTCTGTATTTCTACTATTGCTTCTGAACAGTTTCTTCTGTTTGGATACTTTTACAATGGTTCTATCAGTGGTTTTATTTACATTTGGTAGATTAAGAAAAAACTTTATGTATTTAAAAATGTAGCGGGAATATATCTAATCTGTGTGTTTTAAATCAAAGTTTCGGGTTCATTTCATGGCAGTGTTTCTGTAAATTGTCAAAATTATCTTAGTGGTTTCAGGAGTTTGTCAATTAAAGTGCACAGGACACACTCTAAATGTAGAAATCAGTATTTATAGTTATTAAACTAATAATTTTAAAATGTGCGAAGTATCACTTAGTGTATTTAAAGCAAATACAATGATTTGAATTCATGTTCATGCAAGTGATTAAGTGCAAAAGAAGACTGAACATAATATTGCCCATGGCTTTACAAGTACTTGTATGCAGCCTGCGAGTAAAACCCAACTTTATATTAGGCTTTCTTCTGCCAGTGAAGCCAGAACCATAGTGCAGTTTCCTCAGAATTTGCAGATGTATATTTTCTTCTAAGGCTGACTTTTACATTACTCTTAAAAATGAGATGGCTAGCATTAGTCTATGCATTCCCCCATTCTATATGTCATAGTAGTTCCTGGTACACAGTAATTAAAGCCTTGGCTGACCGTGTGGAGATGCAACCTTTTTTTTTTTAGTCTTTTTTATGATATAACTGTACATTAAATCCTAAGTAGTTTTTTACATTGATTCTTAGCTGAATCCATAGTCTTGATTTTAATTGAATAAGACTGAAGAGGAAAAAAACAAATTATACAGGAAATGCCAGATGGACTGTTGAAGGCTGCTCAGTCTGGAAATCTGGAAATGCTGGCGTAAGCTGTGGGACTCGGTCATTTACAGATACGAAGGATGCATAAGCCTTCTTGTAGGAGTCTGTCATTAACAATACAAGAAACATTTGTAAGTGAATGTCCAGGAATCCTTCATGCAGCTTCTGAGCCTCCATGTATGTCAGCCTAACTTCTGGGTTCACACAAAGCGTGGTGACGGTGATAGCCATATGCATTGAAAGGGATCAGGACTCCTGCTTAGGGTTTGGGTTCAGTGGAGAGAGGATGTGGCACTACTGTCAGGTAGTGCCTGAAATTAGATACAATAGATCCTAACAAAGGATAATAAAGACTGGAGCATTGGTAAGGTACAGAGAAGCATCAGGGTAGTGTACTTACAACTTTTTTGATGGTCTCTGACTTCTCATAACACTTTGCCTTTTTTTCTATATGTAATACTGACTGGCTAACATAGACGATATAGAAATTGTTTTTGAGGTGGTGAGAATAACACGGTAGGAAATGTGGAGGTGGTAGATATCAGATAAGGAGAGGGAGAAGATGTAAATAAGTGAATTAAGTTGTAGCTTCACAGAAGAGCAGGCTTTTTCACATGGCTGTCCACTTTGCAGTCATTACACTTTTTGAAGTCTGATGTATTATTAGCGTTTTATATGGCTCTGTATCTGCAAAGAAGTTTGAAGAAAGTTGGTCATGTGGGCTTTTGTTTGTTATATCTGCCTGTGCATGTTTCTGTGTAAGTAATTTGCCACACATACCTCCTTTGCAATCACAAAAGAGATAGCTCTTCCCTTTTGCTTATTCAAGTCACTCCCTGTTTGTCACTTCTGGCTCTTGCTTCCATCAAAACTAGGCTGCAAACATCAGGGCTTATAAGCTCCATTGCACTTCTCATTCAAGGAGACAGGTCAGGAAACCTAGGAGATTTTAGACTAAATTCTAAATTTTCCATTAACTGAGATTAATTTGGGATTCTAACATGGGCTCTTGAATGGAGGTGACAGATGACCATATATGTTGTTGAAGTGTTGGTTTAGAAAGTCTAGAGAAGGTTTGACAAGGTGACCATTTTCATGGAAAGAGCGAAGGGAGGTAAATCATTCCCTGTCTCATCCACTTAAGTCATGTTTACCAATGTCAAGGAAGCAATTTCATATACTCAGTCCTTTGCATCTTGTGTGGAGAAGAATATGAAGGTTCTTGAGCTCAGCCTCAGTCTTGGTGGCGATTTGCTGAAGTGTCTTAGAAACACTTACAGGTTTGGTTATGAAATTGCTACTGCTGCAGCTGGGAGCTCTAGCAGGAGGACTGTAACTATTTAAAGAGTTTCTGTTAAAGTTGTGAGAGCACATCTGCTTCTTCTCTGTGTCAGCTATGACTTTCAGAGTCAAGAGCTCATGAAACCGTGTTTTGAAGCCATGGGAAAATGTTCTGTCTCAAGTTGTAGAGAGCCTCTATGGCCAATCTTAAGAGATAGAGTGAGCTCCAGGGTCTCCTTGTAATGTTTTTCCTCACCTAATTGCAGAATTCTGGTTTTGTGAGTCCTTCTGTTTTCCTGTAAACTACCCTCTTGCTCAGGGAAGCAGTTAGTTTTACATCTATGAAAGGCTTAAAATTCAGTGAACAGTGAATTCAGTGAAATTTCTTCCACTGCTTCATTTCAATAGGATTAAAAAATAATAGCTAAATAATACCATTTTACTGCTTTCTAGGTGAGGTGGACTTTGTATGGGAGGTAGCTGTAAGCACAGTTATGTTCCTTTTTTCTAGAAAGGTTTGCAACAAAAATTGCTTTCGGAGCTTGTATTGAGCAGTCTACATCTTATAAATCTTTAGACCTGTCACTTGAAGCTCAGTTCATGCTTACACAAAACATATCTAGATTAGATTTTTTTTTTTTCCTTTCATGTCTACTTCTACTCTGTTTATCCCTATCAGCATCCATCCTCTTATGAATATGGAAAGCACCAGCTGAGCAAGATATTTTTGTCATCCTTAACAAAGTTTTAACACTGGCAGAAGAACAAAAATGGAGACGCAGAGTGCTGAAGTTCTAAGAGACACTGCCTGGGCTGTTCTTTTTTACCCTCTGTTTCCAGAGAAGCCATCTCAGGGTTTCAGTTCTAGTGTCTAGCAAAGAGCTTGGGCAGCCTCTACTCCAAGGCAGGGAGTAATCCTGATTAGGGTGGTTAGTAGATATCTTTTATCTGAGTGGAAAAGGGATCCATTTTCTTGACTAGGACCTTTCTTAACCAGATCTTGTAATATGTTACTGATGGACAAAGAATAAGATGACCTGATGGACATTATGTTTGATATGTGTATGTCCTTTGCAAATTACCTTGTTACAAAGGCTGTAACTGTGTATTTTTGATGTGTTTACAGGGGTGACCCTTCAATTGTGAAACTGAATATTGCTATTACTACAGGCTACCTCATTTCTGGTAATTATGCAATGTGTATATAACACACACAACCTGTATATTTATATTGAGTCACTGTGCCTATATATTTCTACTGAGCCACTGTGCTGAAGATGTGATATGTGTTTACAACACAGTTTCTGCTGTGGCTTTTAAAATTGCTAATGTAATTGTGGGTTGTGGTGAAATCACAGGATCTTGCCAGCAGACATGAAAGATGGAAAGGTATCTCCCCAAGCACTGAGGAAATGCCACTGTGGCTTTATGATGGTTTGATACGCAACCACCAACTGCAGCTCAGTTTTGTCCTTCAGCCAATTGCGAAAGTGTTAAAGCAGTGCCCTTCACTCCTTTCAGGGTGTCTACAACTCATGGCTTTTTTATCGTATGTTTCTTCCTGTCACCTCAGAATGCTGGCAGAAGAATTTTAGTAACCCTCAGTACAAGCTAAGACAAATGATACCATAGAATCCTCCCCACCCACCTTTTAGTCTCACTTTAAGCCAAAATCTAATCATATATAAAACATGGAAATTTAAAATTATTGTCTTGGTATGGCATTTACCCCTGCATATGTTTTGTGTTCTTAATTATTTACTGTCAACTAAAAGTGGCATGGGAATTTTACTACAAAATGCTTTGGACTTTCATTGTTGTGTGGGGATAACACCGACTTATCAAAGGAAAAACTTGTGACTTGGACTATTTTCGGGGAAAACTTCTTATGCTAGGATGGAGTCTTTGGTCAGAGACTGGGCAGTGAACTTGATTATCTCTCAGGCTAGATTTCTCAGCCCAGTGGAACTGATCATCTGGTGATCAGCACGCTCAGTTAAACTGTGGGTTAGTTTAAGTCTCTGTTTTTTCCATAAGAACTTCGGCTCCTATGTTTAAATTCATTGGAATCTATTTTTGAATAATTATGCATTAGACTTCATTATGAATTAATGAATGCCTTTGAACAGAGACCTGAACCTGGACACTCATTCTCTCTCACTTCCTTATATAGTTAATGTTTAATTATTAATAGGAAGTGAAGTGTCTATGTCAGATGATGTAGAGTCCTGCCTGAGGACAGCTAACATAAAAGAGATCAAGGTGCTCAGTGGACATACAAAATGCATAGGGGTAACGCTTTTGATTTGGAACCTTGGTCACTAATATTCCAGTCCGAAGTACTCATTTGTAGAAAGTAGGGGCAGAAATTGCTTATTCCAGTACAGAAAAAAAATAATCTTCTGAAATCTCAGACCATTATGGGAGACCAAAGTACTTTTCTGTCAAAGGTTTCCTTATGACGGTAATTCAGGTCCACTGTATCGCTTTTGCAGTAATTGGGAAATTCTGATTAAAGCAAACATGCTTCTCGTTCCAAGTGCCCCTTGCAAATATTTTTGGTAAATGGTTCTCTGTTTGCTAATATAACTACTTTTTGATTCAGAAGCCCCCCATAATAGATCCCTGCATGTATTACATGTATTTGTATATTGCTTTGAATAAAGTAAAGTCTTTAGGATAAAGATTTATCTTCAGAGATAATTAATTCTGAGGGTTTCTACTGATGCCACATGTAGGCATTTATACCTCTAAAACTTAGAGAAACACTATTCTAAAGGCAATGGTAGTATAATAATTTGTTCTTTATCATTATTTCTTTTCTCTTGTAGACTTATTGCTTATTATTTACTACTGGAAGGCAATTGGTGACATATTTTTTGTAATACATCACTTGGCAGCTCTGTACGCTTACTATTTTGTACTGGTGAGTGCTGTATTTTCCAGTAATGTAACAAGCAGATAAGATTTAACACAATGCTTTTACAGATCTCATTTGCTTAATGTTTAAAAAAATTCTTCACTGCTTGGTGGGTGTATTAGCTTTGTGAAAGGTATATCTATATTTTCAATCATCATTGCTTTCTAAATGGTTTTATCAGTTGTTTGTGGTAAGTGCATGCCTTTTTGATGTTACAGTCCTTCAACAAAAATGTGTAACTTATTTAACTGCTGAAATTAAAACTCTTCCCAGTTTTTGCTCTAGAGAGACTTTGACAGAGGGGCTTTTCACATGGTTATAGAAAAGGGTTTCAAATAAAATCATAAGTCTAAATATTTAGTTGGAAAACTGGAAGGAAATGGTTTCAAGTGGTTATGTTCTGTTTGTGGTAGTATTTGCAAGGCCAGAGGTCAGTGATCCCTAACTCTGGTGAATGTACTGCAATTTTTATGGTATGGGGGTTTTTATTTTTCCTTTTTTTTATTAAATCTTTTATGACACAAACTGATCCTCTGAGACTTCTTGTTTAAGGTCACTTTGGTGGGGAAACAATGGATGATTAATTGTATATATCAATAAATATCTGTGGTGTACATACACTGAAGGGAAAAGGGGAAGAGAAGGATACTGTTCTTGAATAAAGACTAACTTAGTTACTCTTTGCTGCTGCTGGAATTTCTCAAAGATGCCCATGTGACTTGGTAGAAATCCCATTGACCTCCAGAATAATGCTTCTGAATTTCTTCTGAAAAGCTCATTCGGTAAATAAAGAAATCTTATAAATACAACTTAATACATTTACCACATCTTTGCCTGCCTACTGTGTGAATCCCAGGCTTACAATATTAAAAGTGACGGGATGCCAGATTACTGTCAGATTTCCCATGTAATGGTTTGAAAGGGGATGAAGTACACTGACAAGCTTGGGTTGAAAATAATTAGATCTTCTAATATTATCACAGATGAAAGTAAATTAGAGCTGAATATTAGAGAAATGAAAATACCACTACCAAGGCTAATCCCTGATGCAGAAAATTCATTAGTTGTTTCTGGAGTAAATCGAAAGCGTAGTGTCAGTGTGAGCTTCTTTTAAAGCAGTTCTTATTATTTGGATATAGCTCTGCCCTTGGATGTCTCTGTGTTACTCTCATTCTCTTATCTTCAGAGAAACTTGCTCATAAGTATCTTATTTCAAAAATTTCTCTTGAAGATAGAGAATTTGATTAAGAACACAGATTTTCTGTTTGGTGTAGTGTGAACTGACATGAAATGCCACAAGTGGTGGGTATTAGCACGCCCGGCAGGAGGAGGAGGAATCATGGCGTGCACTCCATAGGTTGTTCAGGAAACCTACTGAAATTAAAAAAAAAAATAATCATTTTATCTCTGCATCTGCAAACTGTTGCTTACCCAGCCAGTGTTTAGTGGGATACTATTTCCAACACAACCAAATGCTAAAGCAGAGAGTATGCTGTACTTGGGCACTTGGAGGGAAGTGCTCAGTTACACTGTGTGTTGGTGTAAATGTGCTACGCGGTTCTTGGGTACGGGCATGGAGAAGATGTGGCTCTTCTTCCAGCCACAGGGCACAGCAGGGACTGCCCCAGAGCTGGGCAGAAGGGTTCCTCTGCAGCAGGGAGGAGAAAAGATTAGTTTTTTTGTGCCCCTTCTGTGGCCAAATAAGAGCTAGGAATTAATCATCACTTTGGTGAATTACATTCCTAAAATAATGCAGGGACATTTTTCTTTAGTGTACAGTGTTTCTGTTTGAGCTTGTCTAAACATTGAGAAATGAAAAATATTTATAATTCTCTTAGTAATCGTATCATTATAATTATAACCTATGACTACTTGTGCCAGTCTTCTCTAGCTAGCTTTCCTTGACCACTTAACTGTAACTCTTTTAAAGATTTATTTAAAGTAAGAAATGACTGATTTGAGATACCTGAAGGACAATTGCAGGTTTTGTAATAAACATCATTTTGAAATTGTAAGGAAGTTGGCCACAACTGGTAAACTTGCTTACTATCAGTTTTATTAAAGAAGTTGAGACTCATCATTCTGTGTATACCCGAAGGCTTTAATCAAGATTTCACGTCTATGTTGTTGATTTTTGTATGTCTATTTTGTTTTGCTAACCAGAGCAAAGGTCTGCTGGCTTATTTTGGAAACTTCCGTCTACTTGCAGAGTTCTCCACTCCTTTTGTCAATCAGCGGTAAGTGGTTAGGGAATTTTTGCGTAGTTCTTTTAAATTTAAATCTGTATTATTTGTCACATAAGAATTTCTTTTTGTTGCTGATTGTCTGCTGAAAGGGAATTTCTTTATCTTGAACTATGTGGAAACCTTTTTTGCTGTGAAAACTTTTTGCTGCTATAGCTGCAATGTTACAACTAATGTATTCACCGCTGGGTTCCTTTTTAGAGTAGACCAGCCTTTGTATGAAATATCAAACTTTTACAAAGATATTGAACAAAAAAGTTCATAAAGATAATATTGTTTGTTAGCCTTTGTATCTTTGTTTAATTATTATAATAAAGCCATTTTCAATAGGGATTTTTTTTCAGTATCATGGACTGGGCAAAAAAGCAACATAACACTTATATCAGAATCCTATAATGGAATTGCACTGCCCTAGATAATCTGAAGTTTATTTTGTGGTACTGCACGTATATAGATCAATATTAATAGATGCAGATGAATACCTAGAATAATATAAATGTGCATACTTCATTTACTTTCAAAAATAGTTCTCGAAATTATTTTGAGCACTTAAATTAGAGAAATAGTAAAGCATCTAAATATGTCTGGAATGGCTAATCTTCACACTTGTGATCAGAGAAGAAAGTGGCAGAAGGCTCTTTTGCAGGGTTCAGGGGGAGCAGAAACCTGCCATGGCTTCTGGTTCTGGTATTGCTACTGGAATTGCTGCTGTGAGCGCCACAAAAGGAGCATGAAGATGCCACGTATCGCAGGGAGAGGAAAGGGGTCAATGGAGTTTCCTGGCCCTCTGGGGAGGATGGCCTCTCTGCTTGCTCCGTTGCCACCATGACCCAGCTGGGGACAGGGATTTGGCACAGGAAGACTTCACCTCAGGAGAGGAGTTTTGGTGTAGGGCAGTGCTGTAGTCCTCTTCCTCCCATTTTTTTTTTTTTGCAATGTAGGATCAGATCTTGCAGTGTATCAGATTCCTGTTCCTCACTCATACTTTTTGCAGTATATTTTGACTTGGATCCTACATGTGTGGCATCTGTTTGCTTTTCCAGGTGTCTGGTAGACAAAGGGTAAGGTTTCTAAGGCAAGCAGGAACTGAAATCCTCCTGCAAACAGGGTATCTGAGTATTACCCATTACTGCATTGTGACTGTAAACTCTGAAATATTTTATGAGAGTGTAGCATTCCTCAGATTCTAGGAATAAAAAAAACCCAACCAAGTGCTGAGATCCCATTTGAACATTAGCTTGGCAAATTCAACTTGCATAAGGACAGGGTGAGATAGTAGAGCTCTCCAGAAGTTGCTTTCCTTTGCCCAAGTGCAGTTGAGTAGGAGATTATAGCCTAATGTAGTCTGTGCTGTGTGTGCATGGATAAACTGAGGAGTAAATAAACACTTCTTTAAACTTATTTTAGTAATACAAGGAAGAGGAGAGTAAGAAAATGAAAAAAAGGTGGTATTGTATTTTAGGTTTCCATCCTGAAATTCATGTCCTAGTGAACAGCCATTCTCCGAAATGATTTCTACCACAACAGGATTTCATCCTGGCTTTAAGTGGTACCTGTACTGCTGGGTACAGACTGGGTTCAGACTGGGGCATTCAAAAGTATCATGATACATCTGGCTACTAAAAGTAATATAAGTTATACTTTTAAAATGCTTATGGTGAGATCTTGTGTCTTTGAAAAGCCATTGAGGTGCTGGAGTGGCTCCAGAGAAGGGCAACAAAGCTGGTGAGGGGTCTGGAGAAGAAGTCTTATGAGGAGAGGCTGAGGGAGCTGGGATTGTTCAGCCTGGAGAAAAGGAGGCTGAGGGGAGACCTTATTGCTCTCTACAACTACCTGAAAGGAGGTTGTGAAGAGGTGGAGGTCAGTCTCTTCTCCCAAGTCACAGGCGATAGGACAAGAGGAAACGGCCTCAAGTTGTGGCAGGGGAGTTTTAGAATTGATATTAGGAAAAAATTGTACACTGAGAGGGTTATTAAGCATTGGAATGGGCTGCCCAGGGAAGTGGTTGAGGTACCATCCCTGGAGGTATTTAAAAGACGGGTTGACATAGTGCTTAGTGACATGGTTTAGTGATGGCTTTTTATCTGGGTTCGGTTGATGGTTGGACTAGGTCATCTTAAAGGTCCCCTCCAATGTAGACAATTCTATGATTCTGTGATTTACTGCTTTCTCAGAAAAACGGAAATCACTGTAGGAGATAGTGAAGTCCCTTGCACTAAGGGATGTCATCTCATTAGTGCATGAATTTTATTTTTTTTCGTTAAATTTGAGGAGAACCAGACCCTTAAGACAGTTAAGTAGTGGATAATGATAATGACTACATTATGTTTCTTGTTTGCATTCTTAGTATTACCAGAAGAGCTATTATTAAAATATAAAATTATATCCTAAGTTCAGAACTGTAGTATTTGTTTTGTATTTCCTGTCTGTGTTGTTAGGGATGTCTAATTGGAGATTGTCTCCATGACAAACATGTAAATCTTTTAATGTTAGTATCAGCATTTATGTAATTAATTTTGAACTGTGGTGGGTAAAATTATAATGATAACTGTGACTTTTTTTTTTTTAATTTGCTGTGAGAGGGAAGCAGATGTCCAGTTACCTATATTGGCACACTGCAGTATATTTTAAAACATTTTTTCTGTTGCTTTTGGAATCTGCATTGTATATATCAATGTAAGTACAGGCTCTGACTATTAGTCTGACCAAGTATATCAGGTCTGTCTCTTTATTGTCCCGGGGAGTGTGTCTGTGGTGAGGTATCCCACTTCCAGGCTGGACTGCCACCTTGAGCACCTGGATTTTAATTGCCTCAATTGTACTCTTAATAAATTCCTGGAGTATTTCTGTTAGAGCTGGATGTCTGGAAAATCTTTTTAGTATAATTACCTAGTTTGTAATCTGTAGGTAATGAAATTAAAAATTACCTTTAAAAAGAGTTTTAGAACCGTTAATTTTTAAAAATAGTTTTACTCTCATATCTTCTCAGAAATAAACTGATTTTTCCACTTCCACTCCCCATCCCCCATCATCAGTACACTGATTGAAGTAATTTTCCTCTGGTTCCATCTTTAACCTGCCATTGTTGCACAAATATTCCTTATTTGGAAATTTTATTCTGGTTTAAGAGTGGAAGATAAAGAATTAGTGGAGTTTGTTGTCCCTTTTTGTAGGAATTTGACTTGCAGGTTCTGTGTGCTAGGCAATAGATAAGTTAGGCCTGTTGACTAAGGAATTAATATGCAAGAAGTTTTTTTTATTTTAAAGACCACTTATGACCCAGTGGTAGTAGTGGGAAAGGGGATTTTAGATTTATCTGTTTCATTACATAGCATACCTACCTGTGACATGATCTGGTGCCATTTACACAGTCTGGTTTTGAAGTTCTGCTTTTGGGCTCAACAGAAGTGGTCAGAAAATCCCAAATCCAAGAAATTGGAAATTGGAGCTTTATCTATGTTACGATATTCAAATACAGTGCTGGAATTGCTTTCAGAGAAACATTTTAGTTTAGTTTAGAATTTTAGTTGCCCATTGGTGCAAGCTATAATAACTAGTGATAAATTTGTATTTGTCATTTAAAAAGATAATTTGAATTATAGTGCATTACACAATAGTTACTGAAATGCACAGTGGTTGTCAAATGGTGTACAATTCAAATCAGGATTTTTTTACATTATTTTGCAATGTACTGGATATCACACAGTGTTTAAGTGGGGGAAGGACATGCAGCTAAGAAGAAGAATAATTTGCAACTAAGCCAAGACACAGTGCAATAATTTAGAAATGATAAGGGTAGAAGCAGTTAATAAATTAAAAAAAAAAAACACCATTAAATCCTTTTTTAATGAGATGGCTTCAAGTTTCCCTGGTATCTGTGAACCCTTCTTTTGCAGGTGGTTTTTTGAAGTACTAGGATATCCCAAATCTTCAAAGGCCAACATTATCAACGGTGTGCTGATGACAGTTGTGTTCTTCGTGGTGAGGATCGCCGTCATGCCTGTATACTACAGCCATGTAATTGCTTCATTTGGAACAGAAGCTTTCCAGAGATTAGGATTTGCAGCCCAGAGCGCCTGGATTATCTCAAGTGTTGTCTTGGATGTTATGAATGTGATGTGGATGGTCAAAATTGCAAAAGGATGCTACAAAGTCATATGTCTTATTGGACAGGAGGAAGCCAAAACTCATAGAAATGGAAAATCTGACTAGAAAGCATACGCATAAAATGAGATTTCTGCTATGAAAATAATTTGGTTTCACTGAAACAGTGCACATTTCTGCCATGGAATGCTCCTCTTACGGAAACAAGGTATTACCTCTGTACTGACCTTACTCTTTCCCTAGCCACACTGCCTGCACACCCAGGGCCACGCTTTATGGATCCTGTCTGGTGAGGAATAAAAGCAAAAGCTCACACAAATGAGTTCCACGTCTCTGTTCTAAGCAGTTACAAACTACTGAAATTAGAAAGGAGCAGACTGGTTACTTGCTTGTTGTCCGCCAGTGTGTTTGAAGTGTTTCACTCAGGTTTCTCAGATTAATGTGTTTTATAAACCCAGTGAATACTGACATGTCTCTTTTTTTAGAAGACAAAAAAACCTCCCCAAACTCCTCATATGGTGCAATTTTCCTGGCACGTTTCTATGTTTCCTTCTAGGAATAACAATCAAGATTTCATTCTTGACAACTTTTTAATTTTTGAAAGAAAATCTGAAAAATTAGCTTTGATTCTGTGGAGTCTTTTACTGCTTTTTGTTCTGCCTTATATGAATGCAAACCATTTTGGGAAATTTATGAAATAATTTTATCTAAAATGCTGTATTATAAGACTATATAATATCTTAAAAATTGTTAAAATTACCTGATTCTGATGGGAAGGATTAATTTTTGCTGTGTTAGATTACATGCAATAGTACATCTTCTAAATTGCCCGTGGAATTTTTTTTTTGTAAGTTCGCATGGTAAATGATGTGTGGAAACAGCATAATTCTTACTGGAGTGCTTTTTCCTTTGCTGCTACTACCTTTGAGAAGTGCTGCAACTCTCCTCAGAGTATTTTTAACCATTGCCTATCTGAATGCGAAGTTTAAATGTAAAGAGATAAAATTCTTCTGTATATATGAGGTCTAATTTAATAGTTTTTTTCCTTTTAACACAGAAATGACCCATTTGATATGAAGTGTTGAGGTTTTTCTACTCATTTTCCTTCCTAGTCACCAGAAATCTGAGGTATTGACTAAAACCATTCTTGAATTAACTGTGCCAAACTTCTGTAAAGCTGTACGGTAATTCTGTAGAATGACAGTTCACTTCTGTAGGCACAACTTTTAATTTTTTTTAAACCACATATTTGTCATTAGGTACTCTGTTCCTTCTTCTGCAAACCATAAAGATTTGGAGGGCATCAGAAAGGGCATCTAGGAATAATCTAGAATCTAATTTATAATACAATTCAGGAAATTCCTGTTTGTTGGTTTGTTTTTTTTCTTTAAATGGTTTTCAGAGCTGTATTTGTGTGTAGTTTGGTTTTGTTTTGCTTACTTTAAACCATACCTGAATTAAGACTGATTAACTTCTGTTTTTTCCCTTGGAGGGGTGTGTGTGGGTTTTTTGGGGTTGTTTTTTGTGTTTGTTTTTGACATTGCTTGTTACTTGTTATACCTTCTGGTAAGGTGTGCTAGAAGTATCCACTTTCACTCAGTATTTTAGTGCACAGCTCGATTATTGTGCAAAGCAGACAGTTTGGGCAATTTATTTTTAAACAAAAAGATAAAATATTGACCCTGTGAAGGATGATAGGTTTTCCTCTTGTCCTGTTCCCTCTAACAAAGCTGGGTGACACGGACCCTGCCCTCGGTGGTCGGAGGTGAGTGCCCCAGTGCTGTGCTCCCGGCTGCGGGATGCAGCGTTCCTGTCTCCCAGGAATTGGAGCTGTAGGACCCCAGGAGGGCTGCCCGGGCTGAAACACCCTATAGCCAAGGTGGCTGCGATGAGCTTAGTTCCCTGGCTGAGATGATGTCAGGGAGTATTGTCTGGGGGAGCGTAACACACACTTTTATAAACCTAGTTCCACTCTTTGGCTGGGCAGGCTTTTTTCCAAATTTTTTTTTTTTCCCAATCCTGCCTTGTTAAGGGAGATATCAAGGACTGTTAATACTTTGGGTTTTGCTTATTAATACTTCAGAAGCCTGCGGACAAAAGATCTCTTTATGCCTTGGGGAAGTTAGCAATTAATCTATTTAGCTGGAAGATTTGAGTGAGCACAGCACCTTACTTGGGTACCAGTAAATCCACAGTCTTTAAGAGTTGATCCTGTGACCTGCTTTGCTGAAACAGACTCCCTTTTATACTAATTTGCAGAACCTGTATCTTTTAAAATAGTGATTTCATTGTGTCTAACACAAAATCTAGGCTACGTACAAAGGCTCTATGTTTCTATCACCTTTATGGTTTAAAGGTGTACATGAAATACTTTCTTCTTTTGCTTTTTAAGTCACTAGACCAGGGAATCATTTTGTAATACCTTGTTCCTTTCCAAAATAAGTTTTAAATAGAGTAAATTCAAACATTTCAGAGAGTATGTTTGAAAGTAGGAGTCTGCTTATGTTATTTGGGAAGTAGGATGAAAAAAAAATTGATAAGGAAGATTACTTGGAGCAACTCTTAAGGTCATAACTCATGAAAACTTTTTGAAATTCATCCCTTCTTAACATGCATCTTTAATATTTTGGTATTTTAAATATTTTGCTTTCATTGGAGAACATTGATTAAAATGGTCCATTTCCTTCAGTTCTAGATAGATTTCTGTCTGATGCTGGAAAAAAAAAGTCAAGCTATAATAAATCATGTTAAAACTAGATTGAAAGCGAAAAAAAAAAGCAAAAAAAACAAACCCAAAGCCCTGCATAATACACTTTTGGCACCAATCCAGAATGGAAAGGCAGTGGGATAATTATTTTAAAACATGTAATATTTTGGATTGCTGTACAAAATTAGTGGAGTTGAAACAATATTTTGCAATGCACTAGGTTTAAAATGTCTGATTTTTTTTTTTTTTAATGTATTAAAGTTATGTCCTGATGCATCTACTATGTGTCAGAAGACAACTTTCTAATGAAAAAAACTATTAACACTTGTGTATTTGGCAAGGACTGTAGTAAACAGGCTGCAAAGTTGTGATGTACTGAATACATTAGTATAGGTCACTTTTGACCTGCCATTCAAAGCTTATAATACAGCAAATTAGATAGCTGTGGCACCCATTTTTCAATTGCACTTTATTAATTTAAAAATTGTGGTGAAATATTGATGAAATTTAATGTTGCAAGCTTGTGTCTTTTGCTTTTTTATGCGAAAAATTAAATGCATGATCAGTAGCATCATAATAAATGCTACCTTTAGAATGTAATAATATCTTATTAGTGGCTTAAAACTTCTGTTTTTAACAGATGCATTGTCTAGTGTCAAAGCAGACTCTTGGTATGTCACCAGGTGTCTCTGCCGTGGACATAACAAGTGGAAGGAGATAACCTTGTAAAAAATGCTCAGATATCTTTTTTTTCTTTCTTTTACATTCTTCAGTACCAGGGGACATAAAATTAGCACAATGAGTGTGGAAGAGTCTATTTGTACTATGTAAGGCTGTATGTAGGAATGTAAATTTCTTTTTCTTATGCCTTTACTTTTTCATCAAAAGATGAGTAAATACCACTTTCAGAACAGCTACAAGGGAATGGTAGGTTAAGTTTTGCTTTTATAATTGATTTGTGGATACAGTATTTGCAGAGAGGAAGTGTACTTCAAATACTCATTTTCTCATTGAGTGTTCCAGTGGATTTCAACGAAGTCGAGAGCCTTACGCTACAGAGATGCTTTGTGGGTTATCTGTGCGCGTTCTTCACTGGTGAGAATGACATCTCTGAAACCTACTCTACCTCTATAAATACATGCTATCTTGAGTGAGCTCAATAATTTAATAACTTAATTGCTTAAAAAATAGAAGCTATTGAATACTGAAAAATATCCTATGCACAGGAAAATTAGGGGAGCTGAATTTATATATAAATTCTTAACAATTCCAAATTTTATATTAGAATTTATTAAATAAATTAATTACAGTGTCTGGAAGAGAATTGCTTCCATCTTTTCTTGGAAAATTATGGGAGAAGATTACTCATACTGCAGAACTAACATTAACCTAAGAGTAAAAGCTTAAACAAGTGAGCAAATGCGTTCAAGCAGGTTTAAAGAGGGAGAGGTGGAGGAGAATTTGAGAACACAAGTATAGAGATCCAGATGTCTTCCTATTGCTGTGGTTGGGACAACAGCAGACCGATACATAGCAGAAAGGTTTAGGTATTTCAATATCTCTGTTTACAGTGGAAAATGAAAACTTACTCTTTAAAATTTTCTGTCTGTATAAAATGGGTTATCAGTTGTTGATTGCTGTAGGAAAAGGACTTTTTCTTACGGGCTTGTGTGTGTTTAAGTATACGTACGCACAAGCTTTCCATAAAAGATCATTTAATAGAGAAGTTTGTGAAATTGTTTTGTGATGCTTCTGCTGAGCCGTTCTGAGGAAAATAAAGGGCTGCTTGACAATTACTCCAGCTTAGGATCTGGTGCAGTGTTGGCTGCTGGTGAAATCCATCAATAAAGCAAATAGAAAGGGACTAGAACCTTAAGATGAAAAAATGCAAGCGTAGAAAACTTTGTAAAGTATGGGCAGCCCTCTTTCATATTTTTAATAGTCTACTGTACAGCATCATTATCTGGCTACAAGGAACTTCACGATGAAGGATTTGTTCCTGGTGAAGTTTCTCTGTCTATGGAATATATTTGACAGCTGGTAAAAGAACAGTGCTTCATTGCTGAGATCTACAGCAGTTAAATGGAAATAGTGATCAATATTTATGAACTTTAACATTCATCCAAACCCAGGTAAAATCTCTTTGTTGGACAAGTGAAGGTCTTAGGATTTTCTGAAAGCTCTTTCTATGGTAGAGGGGATGAAAGATGTGCTGCTTGGGATGTTTAGAGATCTGGGATTAAGCATCAAATCATACTTTTAGGTGGTAACACTTGATATGGTTTCTTATCCATTACAAATCTCTACTAGCTACCTCTGTTGACATTCTTGCTCTATTTATAATAACCAAGCACTTTATAGCTCAATAAAGAATGGAAGGTAGCTATGAAGAATAAATTGTATCGTTCGGTATAAGAAATATTTTGGCAAAATTTCTTCTGATATCAGTTTCATTGTGTGATGTCCTGCACTAAGAGGGCATCTGATTATAACAATGTATATAAATTTTTAACCTAGTTGTAATGTAAAGGAAATGTCTTTAAGAGAGTGAATTATGAAGAGTTCAGCATGGCTTGGTATCAACCATATAATGATTCAGTGTGCTATTTATAACTCCCTACTTACTGAAATTGAAAATATAAAAGCAAATAAAATATTCTGTAGTGTATCTTTATTTTTAACCTATGTGTGGGATGTCAAACATTGTACTTGTCTTGTGGACAGGACATGCTTTTATGAGCCTATAAATATTTAAGTATATAAGAATCTGCACCCAAGTGGAACATGTTGCATGTAAATTGTCTTCTAAGTTTTTAAATTTTGATATTTTTAAAAATTTGCTAAGTTTGAAAGCAACATTTAATTAATAATATTAAGCTGTGATACAGAACATAACACGTTGAATGCAATGCAGGTTATATTGTTTTTGTTTATTGTAACCCTATTCCAGTTTCACAAGAGAAATCCATCATATGATTGGGGGAAAGGAGGAAAAGGGCTAATCATGAGCTCAGCTATATAATTTGCACACTTAATATGCACACATCCAAATATCCTGGATTTGTTTCTAGCATGCATATACCAAACAGTGTTTTCTTTAATATCAACAGATACTTATATATATGTAGAATAATTTAACACGTAAGCACAGCTAACCTGATATAAAACCAAATTACAAAAATATTGGGAACAAATGAGTTACAAGTTAGGTGTAATGGAGCCTGAAATTCAAAATTGTTTATATAATCTTCTGTCTACGAAGGAACTTGATAAATATATCTAACTTATGTGCAGAGCAAGGACAAAACCTGTAAATTCTGCTAGACTGATTTCTGGTAAATCTTGACAATCTGGTTTGCAGTAAATACTAATACTGTCACAAAATGTCAGGATCACATTATGAAATTCAAATAGTAATGTGGCCTGATTGTAGTAGCAATCTTTATCACGGCACAAGAACTTAAAAATGCAATATAACAATTCTGCAGATTGGTGATAAAAGTCATCAGTCATAGTAAAGGTGAGTGATTAAGTATTATGGGTTTAAATTTACTTTTCATTATTAAAAAGAATCTGAATTATTTGTTTGCATTTCAGTGATATTGTAAAGCATTTAAGGCATTTCTATCTTTTGTTTGAACAGTTTAGGAGCTTGCATAAAATGATACTGGCTGATTTTTTTTTTTTTCCCCTTTGATATATGCAATAATGTCAATAAGCAATAAATTGCATGTTGTATGCAAGGTATTGGTACTTCATAATAAAGGAAAGGAACACAGTTTCTTGTTTTGTGAATTCTTCTTTCTTGATATGGTAATAGCTTGTGTACCCGTAATGGTTTTATCATAGAAGAAAACTTTTCTTTGGGATCAGTTCAGAAACAACTGGATTATATGGTATCTTAAATTTTGTGCAGCATCTTTTTTTTTTATTAAAATAAGAGGGGGGAGTAGGAGGTCTAAGCCACACTGGTGTTCAAGGGGCTGGACTTTTCAAGGCTGAAATTCTATGTAGGACGTCACTGGGGCCAGGAATGTAACTTAAACTATAAATTTTGTTGTGTGTTGAGGAAGAACTTACATTTCTATTGGATAGTATAATTATATTGCATTGTGTTGTAATACCACGTCTCGGGGCATAGGCTGGACAGTTGTCTGAAGGCTCTAGGAATAAAGAGCTGCTGTTGTCAGCGTATGGTAAACGTGATGCACTGCACAGTCCCTTGCTGAATACTGAGACGGGCAATTAAGTTCCTTAATATGGCGATTCCTCGATTCTATATGTGCAGTGAAGGTACGTCTAGGAAGCATGAATTGAGTGGTAAAAAAAATTGAGTGGTTTTTCTGAGCATCCTCAGAGGAAGCTGCTGCTGTTTTGTATTCTAACCATTGGCTTCCAAGCACAGGAACTGCTAGAGTTTCTTTGAGTTTTCTTTTGTATTATGCAATGGTTAAATTACTAGAAGAAAACACAAAACATTCCAGTGTTTTCTACTTTTCTCATCTCATCTTTTCAGGGGTATTTAGTTCCATTTGTTACTGATATTCTTAGGGTGCTAATTTTACACTGTTAGTGTAGAAAGCTGCTCATTAACTAGTCAGTTTGGAAGTGGCTCAGACTGGGAATGTCTGGAAACGTTATTTGGGGTCAGATGCTTTATAGGTCAGATTTCCAACTGCTTGAGGAAGGACAATGGGGGCTTGGTGGGAGGCTTCCGTACTGGCACTGGGCAGCTTTTAGCACTGAATGGTGGAAAGGAAGGACTAAGCATGGCTGGGAATAAGGGAGGCCTTTCAGTGAGCTGTTCTGAACCTGACAAATTCAACAAATCTTGCTTAAAATGTGAAAAACATACCTCTCCCTAAAATGTAAAATACAGAAAGTATTTTGCATATCCACTTTTTTAGTCATGTTCTGGTGCAAAGTTACGCTTTACTTTCTCCCTTTTTTTTTTTTCTTCTCTTTGTGTTCTTGCTGAAAATTTTGTTTTCTATATTTGTATTGATGTGATAATACTGCATTAAGTTTTTTTGGGTCTTTTTTTTCAACATATATTTAATCTTCACAGTGGATATCTGTCATTTTTTAGCTGGTGGACTGTTGTGGTGAGTATCTTCTTATTTCACTCTGCTTTCCTGGAGTTCACAGTGTAATTAATATACATTGTGTGCTGCATTGAGATTGTGACCTTGCTGTTCTCTGTAATGCTTTACATTGAGGAGAAAGTATTTGCTACTTGGCTTCTCTTATAAAGGGTGAAAATTATTATCTATACAATGACTAATAAGCAGTGCAATTGTTGCTTCAGGTGGAGCGTGATGGTGGAAAGCAGGGAGACAGCACACTGACATCAACAACATCCTGCACTTTGAGAGGTGGGTATACAACTAGTTCCCCGCTTGAGAACATCAGAGAGAGAAAATGTGTTTTACCTTGGAGTTGTTCTGCCACGGACTTGAAATATTTGGAAGCAGAGGTGTCAGTTGGTCCACAGGAGGCTCTTAAGATTAAACTGCGCTGTCAAGTGCAGCAAGTTATGACTGAAATGACTGTATCCCATTCAGTGCTGCTTAGCAGCTGTTGCTGTGAATGCACTCTTAGGCGTTTCAGCAAAGCCAAATGTGCCTAAAACTCGGGGAACGATGGAGGCAATCATGGCGTTTTCTAAGGCAAAGAGACTCAGTTACTGACATGGTGCCGCTTTCCTGACCCCAGGTTCTCAATATGCTCTGCTAATGATCGCCGCATGCAGAAAGGGTAGGCAACGATTTCCTCTTACGTAGTAAAGACTATAAAAGGGCAAAAAAGAGTGAAAGGGTGGATGTTTGATACTGCTTTGTAATTGTAGTTTTATTTCTTGTTCACACCGAATGGCAACGCTGTTAATAAGAAAGATGCTATTCTGAAAGATGGTATGTGAAGATGTTCTTAAAAGCACTTGAGAGGAACGTGTAGAAGAAGTTTTTAAATTCACGTAGTTACAGAATTTGAAACAATGCTCTTAGCACTGCTTCAGTGTAGTTTAGAATTTGTCTTTATTAATCTTTCTGATCTTTACAAAAGAATCGGGAGAGAATCACTCCTTTCTTTACACCAAAACACATAGGGAGGGCGGAAGACACCTCATCCCCCTTCCAGATGTGAGGAAGGATACACCTTTACAGCACTGATTCCTGCTGCCAGTAAACCTTCTATCCTTTAAAAAAAGAATATGTATTTGCAGTTGTAAGGGCTAGTGATTTCACAAGGAAACCACGGCGTGGATTTAAGGTCACCCGTAGCTCAGGCCGACACAGCTGCGGGGGGATCAGACCGCCTGGCTCCCCCGAGCTCGCTGCTGCAGGCCAGCGTAGGCAGTAAAGCCCCGCAGCCACCGGCCGCCCGCCCTCCCTTCCCGCTTCGGGGAGTCGTTAACCGTGCTCGTAAGGAGACGTTTCCCCCGGCGGCCGCAGCCCGGGGCCGTCCCTGTCCCACCGCACCGGCGGTGACACCTCCCCGGCGGGGCCCTGACGCGCGGGCAGGCCCGGCCCAGCGGGGCGGAGCCGCCTC